AAGCATTTTTGTAGGAAATTACACCTGTCAAATTGTACTGATATGACATGTATTCACTTGTATCAGTGAATGGTTGAGTGACAATCCTACTGTTCAATGCAGTACACCATTGTCATAGAGACTCGGGTCTAAGTCTTTTACTTGACATTGCAATATTCAATGTTCAATATTCAGATGAAGTTTGATTGTAATGCGACCATTGTCTCGACTTGACACGACCATATCAGACTCGTATACACGACTGACCTGATTACACAACCATTAAATAACCACTCAAAACCTGTCAGATCGTGTATCCACACATGTTTAGATTCCATTTGGAATGTTGGTCAATACAACTCAATTGTTACCGAGTTGCAAACCATCATTGCAATATCAATCATTACTGATCAGTCAATTGTTGGATTTGTAAATGTATCGTCAAATATCCAAATCTGAGTGATCCTGTCATTGGACTACAGTCTTGAAATTGATTTTACGCTAAACTATCAATCGAATGTAATCATGTTCAATATTAAACACTAGCATGGGCTCGGTTTTGGGGTGTCATTGTGCCATTGTGTATTGCTGCAGTCAGGCATTGGAGTTGCTCATTTTCGATTTTGGACAAACTTGACGTTTCAGGCATTGTGCAATTATATTGTACCATTTCTAATCATGATGATGCTTTCAAAGCGCAGTCTAGGTAGTATTCAAGCACAAATTGTATTGCAGTATGAGCGAGTTGGTGTCAGTCGTATTTGGTCAACAATGCTAATCTACTGGCTTGTGATATATGGTACTAGTTATGAATCAGTCGATCATGGACGATGTGAGTAGTTGCAACATACACGATATATTTGCAGTCATGAGCCAACTATTACACAAAACACTCTTAGATTGAGTTTTTGGACATTACAGTTGGAATCAAAAAAATGTACCGTGATGATGAGGATGATTTTGATTACATTTATCATCTCCCACATGCAGATCTTGATCGGATAGTCATTCGCAATCCATTCAAACCATCTCACTCTGTTCATTCTAAAACAAAATCAATTGGCAACCTATCCCTTACATCTCGCCATTCCATCAAAGCAATTCGTAGCACGCTAGATGTGAATGTTGGGAAACTGTCTGCATCGTATCGTGCAGCTATTGCTTCCCATAGCTCATTGAACCAATCCAAGTCCAGTTTATCCGATTTGACAACTGGTCAAACAAGCAGTTCAAACATGATTTCAGATGTGGTGGATATCAATCCAAAAGGAACTTTGAGCATGATGAATAGCACTCTGGGATTGACGATGGATATGAGCCGATCGAGTTTGAAGAAATCGCATTTGACTGCTGGTGGATTGCTGAATCCAAATCAAAATGCACATATAATCAGATCAAAACGAGTCAGTGTAAGCAGCAACGAAACGAGTAGTCGCCAAAGTAAGATTGGTGGTAATATGGCAAATATTGACAATGGCAATTCCGAGTATCTTGGTGGTTTGCATTATGGCAATGGTGAATTGATGGATGTTTTTGACGACGAATACAGTCGGGATGAAGCGATTCAAATGGATACTTTAGCCATGGTTAAGCCATTCAAAGCAATGCCTAGATGGTTGACTAACATCATGCGACCACAATGGGTTGCTGGATTAGGCGCTTGTTTGGTGTTTGGGCTTACTGTTCATTCGTTGATTACAGCAGCAATATATCAACAGACACATTCGGTATAGGTTTAACTGCAGTCTTGGAATACACGAGTTTATTATAATTAAACCTAGTTTGCAATGTTAGTTTTCAAGACTCGATGAGTTTTATTGATTTGACTCGAGTTTCCGAGTAAGATTGGTGAGCTACGTGAAGTTGACATTTGGATGCGATTTAAACTCGACAGTTATGCATCAGCAACTATATGCCATTAGTGGTGTGTTTATTGATGATATTACTGTTTGTATCGCCAAATCAAACCCATTTTTCGCTTTAGTTGATGAAGATGTGTTGAAACTGGCATGCATATGCCTTGTATGGTTAACTGGATCAAAGTGCATCGAATGTGATTCAATTGCAATGTGTGTTGAATTATAATCGATACTGCTGTCATCTCAACCCAACAGAAATCCAATGAGCAGCAGCATGTCCATTAAACCTAGTTTCAATTGAGCCAACAAGTCATAATCACTTTACTAGCATCCAAAGTTAAAAGTTACTCGATTCATATTTTACAGGACATGAGTTATTTTGCAGATTGCAGAGCGACTTGGAACACTTGGTAATTGCAATGAATTATACAGAAACCATGTCAATCCAATTTGATACACAAGAGTTTACCGAGATTTATACCAGAGTTCAAAAACAAGGTCTGATTTGTCATTTTGTAAATCAGACTGTCAACGTTCTTGGTATCAAAGTCGGCGCTATTTATTGCCAGCTCTGAGCGGCGATATGCAGTATTATGCCACTATACAACAATCGAGTTAGTGCATTGGATACAGCTGATATAAACAAGATTGATTGAATGATTACAACATGGAGTATATCTTGCCTAGTCAACTCGATTTGAATCAGTCGTGTATACTGATTGTTGACGACCATAAAGATTCAAGCTGAGATTTGATCCAAAACAACCAAAACGAGATCAGATTGTTAATTTAGCAAAAACTACAGCACTCAGTATTCCCGTGTGGTCCCCCACCACAGTACTGACTGAGCCATCACAGGCTTGACTTCGGAGATCGAACGGGATCCGGTATTTTCTTGTGTGTATGGCCGTAGATGTTGATTGAAACCAATTATACGGTAATATTCGTTAGATGTGTTTGTCAAATGCATTGTGGTTTGGTGTCAGCACTTGTAAATCAATACTGCATGATATTCTCATCACCAATGGTCATCTGTTTTATGTTGGATCTGAACATTGACAACTACACGTTTGGTGATTGACAATCATATGGACAACCAGATGATTCCATGACACCGCATATCAAACTTGATGTTCAATACTCCAATCATGTCGATAATAGTTGAATATTGTGCAGGTAGATTGTGTAATTGATACTTTCGACTCAATCAGTTACTTTGCACTTGTCATCCATGCTAGCCTTTTCAACAGTCATTGCCATTGATTGATATGTTTAAACAGAATTCTGAGATCGATCATCAGTAATTGTGATAATGCAGCCTATACTTGTTTTGATTGGTACAACTCTACCCAATGGTGAACATATTGTATTACTAGTCAATGTCTTGTAAAAACAGCATATTCTGGGTTGATGGATCTAAATGTATTTCATTCAAGCCTTTACTTGATATTATTGAATGGATTTATTTGCTGAATAAACTCGAATATCAAAGCATAGATAACTCCATGCAAGTGTGCCGTGTTCATTCGAGTTTAAACTAATGGCATTACTTGTCACAAAGCCATACACACCAAATAACCATTACCAATATAAATTGTTTATACATTGTTACAATATACCTTCATTCAATAAAATGTGGAAACAATTACTAGACTTGAACATCTAGTTTTGATCGCAACTTTTTCCAATGTAGTTGAAATAAATGGCCATGGATTCATTTAGAGATACATCCAGAATCACTAGTATGTATCAATTTGAATACTAACAATTCAGGCATCATCACTGCATTCATCAGGAACAGTGAAATCATTTTTACCGCTAGCAGCCTTGACTCCCAGACCACGTTTGGCGAATCCTTTCCAGATCTCGCACTTGTTGGCACCCTTGTAGCGAGCAACATCAGATGCAATAAAGGCATCACGAGCACTAAGGAAAGTGGGCTTGCATGGCTGAAGCATCATACCACCAATCATATTCTGCATAGTAATAATGTTACCAGCTTTGCCCTTGGCATCGTAGAGATTGGTGGAGAATCCGTTCTTGGTGACCAAGTTCCAGTAGACTTCCCAAAGCATGGCTGCCCACAATTCACCCATATCATGAACTTCTTCACGCTCTTTAATATCGGCATACGTCAGAGGATTGACTTTCATGTCAGTGGTGTAAGGATGCGAGCGAAAACCACTGGGCGAATTCTCGGAATAGGCAGCAAAGCTAATTGGAGTGGTGGCTTTGTGTGTTTTTTTTGCGGTTACGATCATGGCAAATATATCGGACCAGCCTTCACCCATACCATCAGCTTGACCTTTCAACAAGCATCCAACTGCCGCAGGTCCACCAGTCAATCGAGTTGAAATACCGTGTCCATATTCGTGCAAAGGAACTTGATTGTCCAGACCTGGACTGCGGTTGGGTTTGGCAGAAGTGAATCGGAACATTCTCATTTCGCCCGGCTGACCATCGGCTGGAGTATAGAAATCGGCATTTCCGTCATCTGAATCATCCAGGACACTGATACTAACTGCATCGTTACCCTCACCACCTTTTCCAAAGTTGTCCTTTTGGAAATTACCAGCTGCCTCGTTGAAACCATACTGGTATGTGATATCGTGCATGAGGTTAGCAAGATAAAACAGATTGACAGCTGTTGCTTGTAAGTTCTCCTTATTGTCAATGTCAGTCTTGGGATCAAAGCTGGTGTCGAATACACCGTCAACACCGGCTCCAGGAACTGGTGTTCTTGGTCTTAAATCAAGAACATCGGCGTTGTTACCCTCAGTGGTAGTTCCGTCAGTCCATCCATTAGGCGACGATGGTTTGTATTCTGGATCTTTGATGTTGGTGAAACCACCATCCTTGGGACTGAGACCAGGGACTTTGATAGCCTTGTATGTTGCATGATGAGCAAAGTCAACAGCCTGGACCAGTTTGCCTAATATCAATCCATTTACATTCAGATTAGTGCCGATTCCATAAAAATTAATATCTGAACACGAAATACCGTACCAGTGTTGGTATCTGCCCAAACTTGGATCCAGAAATTAACACCTTTGTCGCGAAGCTGGAATTTGTAAGCATACACAAGCGTGCCATCTTCTTGTTGAACATACTCGAACCCATGTTTAAACTCAGAGTAAACTGGCAGACCCTTGGCTTTGGATACAGTATCAGCAACCTGTTCAAACGTCAGTTTGGCTTTGGGTTCTGCGACTGAAAGCTCACTTTTGGCAAAATGGCTTTCAGTACCAAACGAAGTCGAATATGAGATGATCTGGCCGTCTTGGATATGGACTGCAGCTTGATGATTGGCTACAGATACGCCATTAACTAGATGTGCACCATATACGTGAGTTATGCCAGCACTGTCCGTAAAGTTACTGTCAACCTTGAACTCGTTAGGTGTGAGATTGAGTTTGTCACAGAGATACGCGACACCAGTCTTGACTGGATCAGCACTGGATGGAGCCATGAGGCTGGATGAATGTTCATAAGGAATGTGCTGGTACGTGGATTCGGGAAAGTAGAATGGAAGACTGTCAG